TCTTATCGAACGAGTTTTATCGACTCAAGATCATTCCCGGATTATTCTTTCATCCTCTTGACTTTATTGGGGGATATTTAATGGATAATCTCTCCCTAACCCCTCGAATCTCTGGGAAGTCTCTCTGATGTCTTCCGAAGGCCAGGAACACCCGGAAAATCGCGATCCAAATGATAATATTCCAAAATTTATCAAAATCTCTTCCAATTAAATCATACAAAAAATTGTCAAAATTTTTTTCCTTTCAAAAATTCAATTCAATTCTTCATTTTTTTCATAAAAATAAAACTGAAAACATTCATTCACAAATTGATATCTAATTTAGTTACTATATCATTAATTAATTATAATTAATATAATTACATCAATAATATAATTCTTATTATTGATTTGTATCGGATTTAATGAATTGATAATCAAATATGAATCAATAATTTGAGTCATGAAAATCATGGAAACGATTTTGCTAATTGATTGCATTTATACATAATTGATCGCACGAAACGGCAGTTATAAACCCCTTGGAAAGTTCTCAATGCTATTGAACACTCAAGAGAGTCTTTAATTGAGTTGAGTGCTCTAATTAGTCGTACACATGCGTCCCGGGGCGTTAATTGTCCTCGTGATAACAATGATACTTGAGACAACGAAGAGGCAAGTGGAGATGGTCGAGGGATTTGTGAGATCAGGACAGAATTATGTGGCTTGTGGGAAGATTTTTAATAAAACGAAAACCGCTAAATGAAACATGACTCATTGAATAACGGTTTCAACAAATTGAATGCGCGTTTTGACAAATTTAATGTTCTTATTCCTCTGAATCTGGGGAATGAGATTAGATTGTCTGACAATTTCCGCTTGACTAACGGGGAATCACAAAGCTTTTATTTTAAATGATGCAAGAAAAAAATTGTGGTGTCATTTTGCATAATTAATGGCGAGAATTAGATAGTTCACGTAATCGCGAGTGTATTCCTGGATTTGTTGAGTGTTTTGGAAGATTGGTCTAGTTTTTTTTTATCGGTTATCGCATTTTTCTGGAATTCCAATGAGTGATTAAGCGAAAGTTTTAATACAGAGATTATTGCATAATCGGTGATATTAGAGAATTAAATAGAATAGAATTAAAAAAAGAAAATAAGAAAATAAGAAAAGAAAGAAATAGAAGAGAATTAAATTGGATCTGCTTCTTTCGAGGATTTGAACTCCATTTATTTTATCCTTCGATTAAAAATGTTTTCTATATTGCAAATTAGTTGAATATTTAGTATAAAATTCTACAAAAATATAATTCTCCAATAAAATATTTTGAAAAAAAATGTTTAATGTAAATCTTTTTCCGTATGGATTTTGAGTAGTTTCTTTTCAGAAAAATAAAATAACTACTTGTTTGTTTCAAAAGAAATCCAACAACTATATTATTTAAATTATTTAAATGAAATCTCTGTGGTTTAATCTTTCACCCATAATTTCTCATCTTCAATTAATTAAAGTCAAAAATTCAGAGGATTCAGTCTTCTTCCTGCCATCACACTCTCTACTATCCATCCCATTATTTGTTTATAAAATGAAGCCCGATCTTCGCTGGGAAAAAAATTATCTCTGTCAATGAAATTTACAAGTGCTTAGCAAATTTGTCTGAGACGTGAATTTAAAGGGGGTTTATACAGAATTTCTAGCATTAATTTGTCTCAAGTGTATTTACTTGACGAGATTTTTGAGTCAAAGTAAATAAATTTTATCGTGAGATTAATTTTTGTAAACAATTATTCCTGTAAAATTCGGTGTTCATATTTATTATAAGGTTAATGCAATGTTAAATCACTTGAGAATGAACGTGATGTCACGATATACATCATGTTATGTACTTGTCACGTTAACTTGCCAAAAAAACTCGAGGACTCGGTTTTGACCCTCGACTCTTCACTATTACGTATGATTAATAGTACTCAATCCATTATTTACGTCTCGTAATAGTAATGCAATAGTGAAAATCGATAAGACTTCATTTCGCTTTCATAGAAAACAAAAAAAAATCTAAAAATCCCGTAAAATCACATCATATTTCATCTCATAAAATCTACAATGTCATAAATTTTCTTTTTCTTCATTGTGGAAAAATTATTTCTGAAAATCAACTCCTGCTAAAATTTCCATTCAAATTATTGTCTCAATCAAATTCGTTCAACTTCTTTCAATTTAAATGACAAAAATACTTCTTCAACATTTATGTACTCCGCCAAATGAAATTCCACCGACTATTGTAAAAAAAGGATTTGTTTACTTAATTTTTGTCTCGGGAAAGGAGAGGCCAAGAAAAGGGAGAAAAAAATTCAAATTCTAGGGAGAGAATTTAATTTTATCTTTTCCAATTGTTCCTGAGGAAATCCACCAGAACGTAGAGAAATTTTTCGAAATTAATGGAGGAAGTGTATAACCTTCAAAAATTACCCATCCTTATAAAATGAAAACGAAACGAAATGATCAGATCAAATATATAAGAATTCCGCCCTTTCATTCCCTGAAATATCTCGCAATTTCATGAACCTTCCTTCTCCCTGAGACCTTGTTTTTTTTTTTCATCGATCCCGGTGCATTGAGCCATTTCAAATGGCTTATCAATTTTCCGATAATGTGCTTGTAGCAATTTCATAAATATTGACAGCGTTTGAATCGATGGAAAACAACACTCATATTTACCGACGTAACATGATCCCTGAACTTGACTCGTCGAATTGTTGTGATCCAGAGTTTCTCCGGAAACATGTATAAATTGATAAGGCGATTATTCAACAGTTAGAAGCGATTACAGTACGTCAAAATTGGTTGATGCTAGTTATTGAGATAATTAACAAGGCCATTGTTAGGTAATTGATACTCACCGGGGGTTCAATGTTTTCCCACTTTTCACCGAGATAGTCCCATTTTTCGGCCATTACTTTGCAATCTTTTATTTCCTCACGTTTTTTAGTCACTTCTCTTTTTGTCAATTCACCAAGGAACAAATGGCACCCTCTGGATCGTTATGATTACTCACGGATGATTATCGCACGTCGACTGATGAACAATTTTCCGCACCTTACATCATCAACGCACACTAACATCTCATCCTTAAGTTTCGCAGGCTAGAAATATAATAACTTTGAAGTGTTGGGGACTATTTTTGTCTCGGCATCGCACGCGCTCTCAACTTCATTAGCTTCCCGCGTCGAGGCTTTTGAATTTTCCCGAGGGCGAGTCTGTGGAAGTCGTATCTCAGGTTATTATACGATTCGATGGTTTATTTAATTAAAAAAAAAAATTTTAACAATTTTACTTTAGGTAAGGATTTGAGCTAGGTTTGATTCAAGTTAGGTTTGTAATATCCCCGATTCAATGAAATTATATCGCCAACAATTTAATGTTGCTTGCTCGAGAGTTTGTTAAAAAGTGACTCCTGGCCATCAATTCGTCTAGGATGTGAGGTCTTCTTCAAAGACAAGTCCCTTTATTTATTGATTGGTTCACGTGTCGTTTTGCATAAGCCATAAACAGCCTAAGTGACTCATTACTCATGGCAAACTGTAATAACGGTTTGCCTATTCGTGGTTGGGTTGAAAATATTTCCAATACTTCCAATACAATTTCCAACAGCTCAACCTTTTTTTCATTTAATACACGAAGCGAAAAAGTCTGTAAAGATTACTTATCCGTTTGGTAACTGTCGTGTTTTAGTCGTTCGGAGAAAATTACTGAACTGTTTAATAAAATTTCTCGACTTAATAAAAGATCTAACCGTTTGAGAAAATGTACCTAACTTCTAATTTTTTTTTTGCGAATGGCTAGACAACAGTTTCTAAGCAGTTGACAATTTTTGTTAAGCGGTACTTAAGCAGTAATTTCTTCCCAACGGGTAAAACACAATACGATTACCAAATGGTTAGGTAATTTTCACAGAATTTTTCTCCCCGTACACGGTAACGAATTTTGAATAATTTTTTGTGGTTTAATGAAGAACGCGAATGTTTTATCGGATTTTCAAGAGAAAACGAGGGTTTTGGAGGATTTTCGTATTTCAGATGATGTTGAAAAAATATTTTCACTGCGTCAGGATGGCCGAGCGGTCTAAGGCGCTGCGTTCAGGTCGCAGTCCACTTCTGTGGGCGTGGGTTCGAATCCCACTTCTGACAATTTTTTTTTCATTTTCTTCCCTCCGAATAGAGAACAATAGAATTTTTAACGTTTTGATTTTACTACATTTTAGTACACTACTGTATTGTACAATTGAGAATTGTCTGAGAGTCACATCTCTTACATAAAAACCCCGTCTAATTTCTGGTTCTCAGACATTTACTATTTATTATTTATTTATTTACTTTACATTATTAGTAACCGTTACTTATTAATTTATTTGTTTTCTTGGAAATTCGTAATGCATAATGATTTATCCATTAATGGGAGGGACTGTTGATCCCTTGAAGACCACAAGACCCTACGGTCTTTTTGTCTTCAAATTCCAAAATAATTATTTTGCCTTTATCTCAATTAATTAAATAATTAATTATAGTTTTCGTCTTCTCTATCTTATTTAATACATTACTAGGACCCTGACGTATGTATAAATCACCCATATATAAAATCAACAATTGTTTACAAATAATTAGCAATAGCAATTAATAGGTCTCGATGTAAATAATAATTATAAAAGAAACTGGTACGTTGCACTTACCTCTTTCTATCATTAGGCTGTTCAATTGCTTCTTCCTCCAAAATAGAAAAAATTGTTTTATCGCAGTAATAAACTCTTGTCAGTTCTCCTTCAAATCGAATGCCAAGTTCATTATCGCCATTTCCATTTTCTAAACATAAAATAAAAAATGCGTCATTCGTCATTCGGTGATCTTTTTCACCGAATTTATATGTATCACATAAATGGGGAAGAATTGTGACATAAAAATAAATGAAGTCGGACGTATTCTATTTTACTGTGTCAAGTGACCCCCACCATCTAGACGAAACGAAAGAGCGCGACTTGAAAATTCCGCATTGCAATCCAATAAATAGTCAACATGGCGGAAAACGAATTGATGGTTACAATTTCTGGTGCAGCACTTTCTCTCCTGTTTTATGAGAATGTACGAAGCCGAGGTGATCAGGTAAAAATTGCCGAGTCTCTCTACCTCGTTAATTTGTTATGAAAAACAATTTTAAATAATCTAACGTTATACTAAAAATCGAGATGACAGGTGCCTCTAACCTCAAAAGAGGCGTTTGAATGGCGGTTACCTTGATGCCCCGGCGATATATTTTGGTAATTGCGATGTTTGTTCATCTAGATGGGCTTTTTCTTCGGGGAAGTGCTATCATTCGTCACGAAAAACGTCACAGATTCAGAGAGACATGTGGAGTCGGTGAAGGTTCACGTTGGTGAGGCTTTTGCCACTATTTTAGTAATTTTATGATTTAATCAGGTAATGAGTTCATTAAAAAATGAATATTTTCATGTATTTTTTATAAACTCTTGAAAAGAATCACAAAGGCACTTCCTTCCTGAACGTGTTACATTTTTTCACGTAAATCCCATTGATTATTTTCTAGAAAAACAAAAAAATGAGAATTTAGAGTAAAAAAGTGTGAAACATCTTCAAGAAAAATGTTATCAAATTTAATAAAGGGAGAATTAAACAATTGATTAATTCCTCTTGCTTTCCAGACATCCAGAGTATCATAAAATGCTCCCCAACGGATCAGATCTACAACGCAGCTGGCGAGATAAAGGAAGACAATTTAAAGGATTTCATCAAGGACAAGGGTAAAAACGTGGTAGGGTGGTTCCGATTCCGTCGCAACGGTTCACTCACTCCCACTCTGAGGGACAAAATACTCCACAAACAGTTTCTATCGATTTTTCGAGACCCCAGTAATCAGATCAACGAGGATTATTTTGTCGCCTGTATGCTCAATACCTCAATGACTTTGGGAGAAGGAACTCACAAGTTTAAGCATGTCTTTCTGCATTACAAGCAAGGGTAAGATAAGCCATTGAGTTCGGAATTTAGTGTTCAACAAAATAAAAATCACTCGCTACTAATCAGTTTAAAAAATAACAATATGAAATAATAATAGTACAAATAATAATCAGGACGTTCTCGTAATATCCGGGATAATAATAATTCGATAAATATCTTTGAATTTGGAAGAAACAACAGACTTCACCAAAAAATCCCCGGGCTTCCTACATTAGAAGATATCGATAAATCAATGAGTCATGATTATCAATGAGACTAATCAATGATTCATATCTCTGAGCTGGAAAGAGTGATGAAATTTTTATTGAATCTTTCGTTGGTTGTCTATCATTTATCTTGTCAGATAAATTTATCTCTTTATTTTCGGCGGATTTCCTCAAAATAATCGGTTGTAAAGTAGAATTGTATTATATTTGGTTAGAAATACAGTATAAATTTTGGATTTTTAGGATGTACAACCCCATTCCCCTGAGAATAAATAATTTGGGTCACGATGCGACGAGACACGATGGCTCTGATTACAAGCCAAGCCCAAGGAAATACTGTGATGAGCCAGATGCCTTCACAAAATTTGTAAAATCTCTGAAGTGAGTACTTACAAATAAATTCCATCACTGCGAACGTGATAATTTCAGGAAATAAAATATCATTCGATGCAATTTGTGATTTTTAGTTTGGATTTGGCTCGAACACCTGGGATCCACTCAATCAGCGAGATCCAACGAGCTGCTGAGCAGCACCTGGAAGACCTAGTCCCATTGATTGTCAAGACTGATCAGGAGGTTGCTGAGCTGGAGAGGAGTGTACTGGAAACTAGACGAGCTCTATTCGAGAAATTGATGGAGAAGGAACTCAGGAGCAGGGAGGCACAACTGATTGATACCAAGTGCAGATCTCGCAGGGACAAGTTTCAGCGTAACGAGGAGTCAACGTCGAGAGCTTCCAGGTGTCAGGATGATTCTTGGTTGTCGAAGGACTCATCAATTACTCCTGTGAGTTGAGATATTAATTGCACAATTTAAATCAGTCCTCTCATCATTCGATTAATAAACAGAATCAATATTGAGTTCTCAAGAAATATCTCTGATCTTATCACTATAGAATGAAAATTAACCGAAATTTTTCTGAATACATATTTCATCTTTCAAGCGATTACGTAGAACTAAAAAGGTCTCAATAAAAATTTTACAACCTCTATTAAAAAGTTATTGTCCATCACTTCATTAATCACTTCATTAATTTTACCGGAAATGAAAATATTGAACCCCCTGTGTTGATCAATTTTCCAGAAACAGAAGACCCGTCACTCCATGGCATTTGACAGTCACATAACGCCGAGCCCTGAACAGCTGCCTAATCCTTATGCAACAAGAAAATCTTCCTCGTACAGTCAAGCAGCAAAAAAAACAACCGAGCGTATGATTGACGATTCGGAGCCAGACTGTTGATGATTCTCTAAGTTGATGAGTTTCCTTGAAGAATTTATCGTTCATTCAATTTTCTTTTTGCATTTCGTAAGAAAAATTAATAAAATATCAGAGAGAGAGGGAGAGAAAAAAATTAAGAGAGTTCCACGTTTATCCAAAGAAATTGTTATCTGTGTCGTTGGAATAAAATACCCAATGTATTTTTCACAGACTCCTTATCATACGTCACTGTAAATATTTTCTTACATTAAAATATAGTTGTAATCACTAAATACTTAATTCCGTTTATTCGTCACTCAGAATAATTTCAGTTCGTTTTATACTCATTTATTTACAATTGCGTCATTAAGAGGGCTTATCGTAGAGGAGAAAACAAAAACAATAACAAATGTTGATATTATGGTACGGCCTATAAATACTGTCTTTTGAATAAAAATCTAATTACAAAATGTTTTAAAAACATTGGCACAATTCTGATTGTTCCCTTGGGACTCCAGGGATTATTAAAATTCAATAAATGGATAAACATTTACAACAGATCAGCAGGATTGTTTGGAAGTCCAGTGACTTCCCAGATTGTAGCTGCTAGTCTTCTCGAGTGCTCGAGCACACATGAGGATGTGGCGAGACCCAAGTGAACGCAGTAGAGTTCGTAAATTTGGATTTTGCTGGGAGATACCTTTGGAAAGCAAACCTGTGCTAATTTCTTGTAATAGTCATCACATAAAATTCCAGGTACTGGAAAATTCTTTATCACACTGTTCAGGTAGGTTTTGCACTTCAGAGGAGCACCCTGGAAAGAACAGTTAAATTAAATTAAATAAATTCGTTAATGGTACTAATAATTAATCAACGGGAAATATAAACGTGATAGTCGGAAACATATTTTTACTCAAGGTTTTTTTGTTGATTAGCTTACCAATGTAAGTTGTACTTACCGAGCTGTCCTCAAACCACAGAAAATAGGCATAATTGAAAGTAGTATCTTTCCACATAACAGAAAAATGTCCCTCCTGCAGATGATTCCTGCTGTGATCGATCATTGACCATATTTTTTTAGTAGTAAGTGCCAAAGTCTCTGGATTGGTAAAATCTAGGGTGGGTGCAGTCAGTCTGTGTGTGGTTCTATCGATGTAAATAAAATGCACAAGGCCGGGAAACTCCTCGAGATACTTATTAATCGTCAACGAAGTCCTCGACCTCAAAGTGAAATTCTTGATAGCCTTGACCCTGAGAAATCCACTGAAGTCATTAAACTTCTGCTTGACAAGTCGACAGACAGTAAGTACAACATCATTTCCATTCTTAAGGAAGCTCCTGCTGAAACAAGTAAGTCTGAATAGGTCCTTCATTGTATCTATAAACCCAGAGATATTGGATTCAATCTGGAGGATAGCCTCTGGGTCCCTCGACTTGAAGAGCTCCAAGTACTTTTTTCGAACAAATTCCCATTTAACCTGCAAGCGTCTCTGACACATGTCAACGTCACTCCCCACGTGCCCTCGGTTTTTCTTGATGCCATCGACGGTTTTTTTAATGGCTCCATCGAAATTGTCGAAGGCTATTCGCAGCTCGTCGAGATCTCTCTGTAGCTGAAGACCATTCATCACATTGAGATGATAGAAACTCTCGTAAATCCCAGAGGAAGTTGCTAAATTCGTAACTTCGAGGATGACTGCCAGGTGAATCCCTTCAGAAATCTCGTAGATGTGAATTGCATTGGAGGTTCTGCTCTGCTCGGACCCCAGGAGCAACAGTTGGCTGAAGAGACCCTCCTCAGCCAGGGCATTCAGTCCCTCGCTGAATGAGGAGTCTCTCGAATCACCGAATAGGTGGCCAATATCAGCTAATGTAGGATTAGGCAGTTTTCCTCCAATGCCCAGGGATCCTTCGTCGCTGGACCCATGACTTTGGCTTAGAAGCATGTCTCCATCATTCTCCAGATCCTCGGATTTGCTTCCACTGGCGACTCGGCACATCAGAATCATCAGGAGAATGTCTGCTGCCCTGAGGTCCTGGGCATTTTTGCTCGAGTACAGAGAGAGAAATTTATTCTCCACCAAAACTAGAGCGTGCACGTTCGAGAATTCTGACTGCGTCTTGAGCTTGTCTGAGGTCTCGTGCAGGATTTTCAAGGTTGAGGATGCTATGTCTGCGTTCACGCTGAGTTGCTCGACTGATTCTGTCAGGATACTTTGCTCCGTTTGACGGAGGAATCTCCAGGCGTCCAGCAAGGAAGACACCAGGGAAGCTTTCTGTCTGCTTGATTTTAATCTGAAATGACAGGCACTCAAGACATTTAATTTTGCAACAGAATGAACAATTTAAAATAATAAAATCATCGTCACTATCGTCATGAGAAGAGATAGATTTTATAGAATTACAAATTAATTTTTATTTTTTCATAAGGTCATTGAAACATGAACAGAAAATAAAAATTTATTTTCATTTCTCTGAGTCCTATGTCAATCAAAAAAAAATCTCCAGACTAGATATTTCTAAAATTTTTCCCGATACGTCCTGCATCTGTCGAATTGAATTTTCTTATTCTCGAAAAAATTGACCGAACAGTAGTTTCTCAGGGAATGAATTTGCGTTTAATATCGACGAGATTCAACTCACGTAGCAACATCAGGTCCACAAACGTGCGTGACGATCGTCACGCAAATCCCCAATGTTCTCTTCATGAACTCGACATCATCAGTGGACACATAGATGAATGTGTAGCCCATAGCATCATCAAAAACGATATTGGTGCCATCCTGGCACTGCATCGAGGTGTAAGAATTGCCAAATTGTGAGGCCATCACCTGCTGGGAGGTGACAACCGGTGAAAACAGCTGCATTATGACATTCCCGCTCAGTTTCCACGATTCTTCGTCCTCGATAAAGCAAAACGACATTTAATAATCAAGTTCAGTCATTTAATTATATTCTATACCTTACTTACCTCGTCTTCGGGGATTAATCCCTGAATCTTGCCAAGATTAAAAACATGTTTCGAGAACTTGCGGTTGCATTTTGTGAAGAGCACGTCATTGAGATGATCGAAGATCAAAATTCCCCTCATTTTGCAATGAAAATTCTTGAATATTGTTGCAGTCGAGCTCGTTAAGCGAATCAATAATTCTTCTGCTTTTTTATTTCAGCAAAAATAACTGGGACACTCTAGTCCCTCATCTCGCTAAATGTCGGGTATTAACATAAAAACTCACTCTTTGTTTATCAATCATTGACAAGTCAATATTGTCATAACTTCGTAAATAATTTCACGAGTTATCGTGGTATATATACGATTTGACAGTATCTCCAGCTGGCAGATATCCCCACTCCCATACAGATTGATCGTTTTTACCATGACAGTTCTCTCGGTAATGCAGGGACTAATGATCGCAGGTATGAAAAATTCCTTGAAAAACGTTTTCTCCGGATTATTTTATTAAAAACCTCTTTAAAACATTTTTAAATCCCTTTCTATTCTCGAACGAATGCCATTGAAGTGTTTAATAGAAAATGTTCTCGAGTGAAAAAATGAATTCATTTTCTTACAGATAGATTAGATATTTTTTTTTATCGAATATAGAATTTCTGAGAGTAGCTGTGCCAGTTTTCGATTCGAAATTCTAGGTCGATCGGTCAAGCATTTTTCGAGATCCACTAAATTTCCTAGAGTCGTTTTTTTTCGAATATCTCACAAAATTTTTTCATTCTCTCTTTTTATTTGTTATTTACAAAATGTATATTCAGCAGTATCTACTCCACAATCGAAAAAAAACAAATCAGAGATATGAATTCGCAGGAATATCTCAAGTGTTCCAAAATTATCGAATATTTAATGATAACATTAATGATAACATCCTTGCAGAAAAATTAATCTACCAAATGTTACACATGAGGTTTGAAAATTTATTCCAAAGATTCCACCGCATTATTATAATATAAAAAAAACGTTAGTAACTTTTCACCCATTTTTTAAAAGAAATAATAGTGTAAAAGTAAATACTAAAAAAAATGGGATTACCCAATAAAACGACGAAATTAGCAATTGCCATTTATTTTTGTTTAACGATCCAATACATCAGAGTACATAACACCTATGTTTACCTCGATCCCATACATTGTCTCTGCTAAATGAATAATTTCAGTGTTCAAATTGTTCCATTATGCTTAAACCGCTGATAATAAATAGTCAATTAATTAATCTGCTTGTGAATGGTGCGTATGAAGGTGTGACCCCTATGATATACTCATACTACTCGCGTAGTTATGACCGCTGTATACATATAATTATATAATATCTGTATAATTTTTATTTACTCTGTATCAGCATACACGTGGTATCGCGTATACGTTGGTACAACAATTATTTACATGACGAATTAATCGTCAGTATCACTAACTGGTATTGACGCTTGAGGACTCATCACATTGATAATTATGAATTCATTATGAGTAATGAATCTATAAAATGCAATCAGTGATCGTAGAAGCTTCACAAATCTATTTAATATATCATCTAAGCGACCACTCCCTCGAGTTGACAGACAAAAGGATTAAGATTGACAATTAGAGAGAATGGAATTCAATAAGAAGACAAATAATATTGACTTTGATTTCATTATTGATCTGGATTATTCACTTCATCGTAGATCATATAAATATACTCTTATTTTAATATAACGACTACGTATCTATATTGACCATTTCACCAGTATTATGGGTAAAAGCAATATTATTTGTGGAGAATATTTATTGAAAGGCCTTGTGAAGAATTCCCATTTTTTCGTGGGGAGAAGATTGAAGGGATTGCACTCTTTTTTATCTGTTATTTCAGTTTTATGTTTTAATTACTATAATATTCCAATTTTCCATAAAAATCTTGTCAGATGAAAAGCTCAACTCTGTATTTTTATAGTTTCTATCGCCAATAATCGCCAAATCCTTAAAACGAATGAAAAATCATATCAACGATCTGATTTTCAATTAATTTTGAATTCGAAATATTGAAAATTCATTAGCATTTCTCATTGCCACTGAATAAAAGGCATAATTATAGATTTAAAAAATCAAAAAATCGAAACATCAATTCTTGCTGAAAAAATTTCGGTTGATCATAACGGTATGATATTTTTTTGAGAGAATTTTAAGTATGAGTTTTTGGCGGTATATTCGAATTCTTCATGCGATCATCCAATAAGTGTTCTCTTTAGAATATCCCAACGCGAAATAGGAAGAAATATTTGAGAAAGAAATAGCAATTCGAAGGGAAGGTGTCCGAAGCAAAAGTAGATTTTAAAAGACGCAGAGTACTTCGTTAAATATTTTCGTTGAGTGCCTGAGAATTATGACGACATAAAACATTTCCTTTTAATATTTGGTACATTGGAAGCGGCACAAGCTCTCGTGAATTACTAAGCCCCGATAAATCCTTACTCATAACCGTATCCCAACGTTCGATACTGGTCCACGTACAGTAATATATTATACCAACTACATCATTCGTAACTCGATTATTTAAACGTGTGGTATTGAATGAATTTTGTGAGTGCCGGAAGCCGTGCACGGCCCAAACAACGGGGCCCTCCATATATTATATATCATTTGTAACAATAAAACTCTCTAAATAGCTAAAAGATTAACACAGATATTTAACGTCGAACGATCAACCGATCTAAACATTCGTTTGCATTTATTTTACATAAGTTTAATAATTAACTATAGGTATGCAGAGCAACTCCGTGATCCTTGGAGGAGAGAATTTTTTTTCTACGCGTATGGACGTCAAATTAATTTCATTATTTTTTTAATATCAAATTATTCAACAAATTGTTCTTTTTCTCGAAATTATTCTGGAAAAAGACTTCCAATTCAAAAAGAGATATTCATTGAAAATTGAAAGAACGTTGGATTTTTTCACGTCAATTTTATCAACTATTTCTCAGAAATTTGTAAAAAAAAATTGAACAATTAGAAAATATCGGGACTCCTTACGTATGCATTTATTTTCCTTCGTATATAAATTTCTTTTTTGTACTTCCGATTTGTATTAATATTTATGAAATAATTAAACTACTGAATTTATACAGGCGAAATTCTTTGAACTTTTTAAATTCAAAAAGTGCAAGTTAACGAAATCCGCGAGTGTCAAATTCACGAATCTCTTCATCTAAATCACATCCAGATGATACTACCCCGTATAAACAATTAATTTGGAAATGATAAAATCGTAAAATCGTGAATAGTCATCTGTAATCAATGGGGAATTCCATGGAGGTAATTCCTCTGCTCCAAGGATCGCGCAGAGTCTGGAGTGTTGTAGATACTTTCATCGGATTAAGGCTCAATTATTGTCATTCTTGGATATTTTTATCACCCCGTTCGCGTAAAGGGCGGTACCACCCCCGAAAACCTCCCTCCACCTCTCCCCTCACCGCGATATTAATCTTGCACGCTAACGAGGATTATTTTGATCTCACGACAAATTGTTGAGCGATTTTCGCGCAATCACCCGGCCTCCCCTACAGCCCACCAATTCATTAAATATTAAAGCTCGATCAAGCAAATAAAGGTCCTTCGGAAGATCTATGCACGAGGAAGCTATACAATTATGCGTCGTAAACCTCACTAACCCTTTTTTTCAAATTCGACTCCCACATAATTCATTTTGTTTCCATTATATTGAAAAATGTTAATTTTTTACTGTTAATATAAAATATCTGGGTAAATAATTACTCAAGTATTCGTACAGTATTTTCTAATTTCCGATTTATGCCATCAATATTGGAGCATCATTCACCTGGCGATTTTATATGGATATAATATAAATTTTTTATATAAAAAAACGATATTACCAGGAAGTCGAATTTCAAAAAACTAACTTGTACTAATTATTCTACATATTTTTCAGTAATTTCTTTTTTTATGGAAAAAATTGCACGATTTATTTTAGATATATTCAGCAAAATGATTGTGTAAATATTTTATTAAATAGTGCAATTTTTAATATAAATCGAAATCGTCCAATCACCGCACCCGTCATGGAACTAGCAATAGTCTACTCATCATTACGTCACTATTCTCATCATTGTGTTATTTTATAAACATATAAATCCCTCACCGACTCGTGTACCTGTAGGCTTAATATTCACGTGAATCGAATGATCAAAGTGGTAAATTACGGGAAGATTACCATGAGGTCTAAAAGTCACAGGCTATTAGGGTGAGATTGAAAACGAGTAATTAATGCAAAAATCGCTTGCACCATAGATATTTGACAGATCACAATTAATTCTAGTCCTGCGATTTTCGAGTCATAATGTTTTTTACATTTTTTTTGGTCATAATTGGTCTAGCTTTTACCAATTTCTCCTCACATAACTAATTTTATTTTTATTGCAAAAAACACTGCACTATTAATGTGATAGCTAGCAAAATCTTTCCCTCAATATTTTCAGAATATTTTTTTTTATTTTAGATCTATGCTATAGATATTTATAGAATCCCTGTTCTCATTATTTTACGCGAACTGCTCAGTTTTTATTTGAAAAAACGACGAAAATTTAATTTGTTTATTACTCTATATAATTTTCAAAAACTGAATAAGCACTTCTGTACCTAACAAACTAGCCCGCATTGTTTTTTCAATATGATTTTTTTTTGTATTAATAATTGCACTGATTATTCAAACATATACAATGGATCTTCACCGTAAACGAAATCTCACTGATATCGACTTTTAAAACTCATAGATTCTCCCCTTGAAGTCTAAATAAATGACTAAAAAATAATTTCATCTTTTATAATAAATGGAACTCTTGAGCTTCCACTTTTTAAACATTTTGTTTATTTGTTTTTTCGATGTCTTCATTCAGTGACACGCGTGCATCTCGCGTGAGGACGATATCATGACTATCAATCGTTGATCAAATTCGCAGGATTGAATTATCTATAGGCAACAATCTGCATTGGCTGGTAATGTTAATGATCAATGCTCGTCCCCTCGTTTTCGTATATAATAACAAGGACAGCACGTAATACTGATATAATATTGTCTCTATCGTTTTAGTATTGATTAATCTCTCGATAATCTCGGTGGTTAGACTGAATAATTTACACTGTCCTGGTTAATTCACTCTCGTCATTCGTTGATGGATTATCCCCAGGTGATTTATGATGATTTAATAATTACTCGGACATGTAGGTTGGTTCCACTCGCCGAACACGTTGAGCTCGTACATTGTCGCTAATACGATAAAAATCAAGTACCAGACCATCAGCACTGCACCGTACCTTCGATCAAGCTTCCAGCCATTCATGTGAGTTGCCAGCACCAGGAATACTACCGTTGATAACAGGGACACTGTCGAGTACGTTAATCCTGGGGGCAAAGATTTTATTCATCGACTTTTCAGAAATCTCATTATTGATAGCGAGATTCTTGCAATGGAAACATTCATTCATTTTATTTTATGGGAATTATTTCTATAAAACAAAATGATTGTGTAGTAGTACAATTCGATTACGCTGTGGATATGTACCTCTGCTGGTGACATTGACATGAGATCCAGGTTGAATCATAGCCGTTTGGATGAACCAAGGCAATCCGAGGCACACTAGAATATCAAAGACATTGCTGCCGACTGCGTTACTCACTGCCATGTCTCCCAGGCCCTCTTTAATCACTGCCAGTGATGACAGAGCGTCTGGAACACTGACTCCAGCTGCGACGAATGTCAGTCCCATGACAGTGTCAGGAATGCCAAATGTACTGCCTGTCAGCAAAACACAGACCCCATGCAATCATCACTCCGAAAACAATAGAACCTTCTATCCTCAAAACATTTGTAACGTTTTTTTAATTTCAATATTCCAAGTTTAGGAATTAATTTAATTAGTAGTTAATTGTTCTCAGACTTATTATTACTGTTTATATCATCAGGCGGTTTTTGAGATAGTTTTTGAAAATCAATCGATTTCCAACATAAATACAAAAATGTAGAGAAATTTGATAAAAAATTATTGAAAGATACAAAAAAAGTTGTTGATGTGGAAAAATCGTCGGCTCTTTCTCACCAATTATAGTGATCATCCAGACCATGATGTAGCTGTAGAAGCTGATCCATACCATCGAAACGCAGAAGGTAAAGGGGTACCAGCTGCGCCACTTTGGCTGTCGACAGTCGGGCATAGTTGCACGACACGTGTAGTGAATGGGATAAACCAAGTGCCAGGTGAAGAGCCTCCACTGGCTGGCGTCCGCCGGTCTCTCCAGGGGAGACACTTCGTTAGGATCTGCCTCTTTTGCCTTGTAGTACTGGGGTTGCGATGCAGGGGGTGGAGGCGGGGGCTGCTGGGGGTTTGGTTGCTCCCCAGGGGCTGGTATTCCTGCGAAGAATTACATTTGTTGTTTTTTCTTTGACAAGTGAACGACTGAATGCAGCGTAATTAATTCAGAGGAATTAATCATAATAGATTCTCGGATTCCCGATTCATCGATAATCGAATGCGATGAGACATCTGAACGTAAATTTATTAATAAATACAATAAATATTCTTTTAAAAATTTAAAATCTCTGTCAAATCTTTAGTAAAGCTTATAATTTCATCAGTCTCGTTAGAGAATTCAAATTCTTCATTTAAATTCCCAAGAATTTCAAAAAATGTTTTATGTAATGGAAAAATCAATGGGAATTTGATTTTCAATTACTCATTGTAATAATTCGTAATATTGGAAAGTAATTAGAATTCGTTATTTCCATTGGAAAGAGGGTAGAATTATTATAAATAAAAAAATCGAAGAATCGGTTAAATCTTTCAGAAGAAATAAAACTGAGGGAAATTCTGGAAAAACATCTGATTGTGTCAAGAAATAGAGGATTATAATTGTATTGATTGTACAACGAACCATCCTGACTCTTAATCTGCTCGGTGACTGGTGAATTAGGCCCCGTATAAGACTGCCTATCCTCCTGCAGCGATCTGTAGCTAACGAGTGCACTCTGCTCAGCAGGCTCTTCATCCTTGGGAAGGAAGGGAATGTTGTACGACTTTGCCCATCGTTCGAGCCGCTCATTGTAGGACAGTGCAACGCAATAAATAACGTACGTGATCAGCATCAGTAATGCTTCAGGCCTGGAGATGCAATTGAGAAAGTTGCAATTTCGAGGATCGAGCAAAGTTTGAATTAGTTGGAGTTTAAATTGTACCAGCTTATAATTTTATTGTAGATAGTTCCCAGCATCACCAGGATCGATATAAAATAGAAGAAGCAGTCTCGACACAGGGGCCACCAATTTAATTTCGATACTGTCGTCGTGCACAGCCCACAAACAGCAATTACGAACATTATATTGAATACGGCGCTACCAATTACTCCACTCACCTTTAAAATAAACAACATGAGTAAATCATTAATACTATAGTTCAAATAATGATAATAATAACAATAATGAGAAGAATAATAATATGCAATCATATCGTACGGCATTTTTAGTAAGTAAACGGAGTAGTTTTAGTAGTAAACGTCAATTAACTCAATTATTAGTTGAGAAAATGTAAATTAAGAAAGTTGAAGGCTCATTTTACCAGCGGGAGAATCTCAAATTCATCTCGGGGAGAGAATTAATTAAGGTATTATCTAAACCTCGAGCTCCATGCTTGGCTACCATTAAATTTAAATCTTCTACTACAGCTTTATGTGCTACATATTCTTCAATTTTATGATAAATTCTTCGCTGCTAATAGCGGGGATATAATTAATTGAAAATCTACGGCAGAAGTTCAGTAGCACTTGAAAATTGATGGAATGGAAGAAAAATGTTTCAGTCACTGCGAAAAATGACGTGTAATCCATTTAAAAAACATACCGCTATAAATAATGGGAATTCAATTGATTTTTGTTTGGATAGTCTTCTCATGGATTATTAATTGATAATTATCAGCCTTAGATAATACCTTAAATAATCCCTAGCATGAGTCAGTGTTAATTGAAATAATTTTTTCATTTCAGAAATTAATTTTACGCCGAAGAATATTTAACCGTTTCTGTTACATATTCATAAGGGACGAAATTAATAATAATATATTCTCTGAATAACATTATTGAGATAACACTGAATATTCATGGATTTTTTAATCTTCTCTTATTAAATGCGTTTTCGGGGGAAAACTCACGGAATTTAAATTTCCATTAAAAATTCAATAGAAATATTCAGAACCAAATATTGAGTTTTTTATTGAATGAAAATCTAAAATATATCTGCTGGAAATTCCAGCGCAGCCTTTTTTTTTAATTGCGAGTAATTGTTTCCACTCTTTCAGGAATTATTGCCGAAATATTCTCATTTTTCCGTTTTTTTTTACAAATTTTTTTACAACATTTTTCAGAAACTGAATAAACAAATTTGTGAGCCATCGAATGATGATAAGACCGAAAAATCTTTTTTTGTCACCTGACCCACGGTTTCCCGGAACTTCACAAAAAAAAACATTAAAAAAGAGAAAATACCGGCAATTTTCAATGAATTTTCAAAATGAGATTGAGCGAAGAATTTTGAACAATTAAGACACTTGTTGTTGAATGGAGTTTGATTTTCTGAAAATAGTGAGTAGAAAGTTTAAAGAGCGGTGAATTACCCCAATGTCATCCTGAGCGAAGAAGACACCGACGATAACAGTAGCCAATTCAGGTGCTGAGGAACCAGCAGCCATAAAGGTTGCTCCAGCAACATCCGGCGACAGTCTGAGCTCCTCGCAAATTCTGTCGAGACTTGCGACGAAGTAATCATCACAGACAATAGCGAGACCAAGGAATGTGTAAATGGCAGCCAGAATGTGAATTATCAGACCACCATGCTCTCTTCCCCATTTACCCATAAATGGCTTTGGAAATTGCTCAATTGCTGGGGCTGTGCAATTTTCCCTAGGAGGACGCCACGTCGGATGATGAGAGCCCCCCGAGGAGGTTGTTGTCTTTGCTGGAGACATCTGGGATGTTATGGAAACAATTTCTTTGATAACTCAAGTCTTAGAAATTTCCGGATAAAGGCAAACGATCGAACTTTTAATTAACCGATGAAAAGTGACTAGCTGCTGAGTTTTGGAAGATCTCTCGAAATTGAAGAGGAATTTCTTGTTAAAAAAAAGTCTGGTATAAATAAAAAAATATCTTCCAGAACTGACCTACAGCATCAAGTTAAAAAAATTGATACGTCTGGTATTCTTCTAGATGCCGAGAAATTCTTCCGAGAGATTTAAGCAGAGAGAAAGAAGCTCTTGATTTTAGTCATTTCAAATAATAATCATATTTTTTAATACGAAAAGGTCCTTTTTCTCACAGATTGAATCCACTATACAAAAATCATTTGTACATTAAACCATTTCTACATTGAATCCATCATTTTCAGACTAAATCTGTAATTATAAGTTAAGGAGTTATTGCTGATATATTCTCATTTGTGTCTTGTAAATTTTCGAGAAACCATCAATCAGATTGACGTGAAAAAATATAATGTTTTTAAATTTATAATTATTCAACGACTCCCAAATTTTCAGTTTGCAATTTTTGTTGAATTAAAAAACCTTTAGGTTTTTCAACGTTTTTAATTGACATTTCGCAAAGGTTTACTGAGAAAATAGAAAAATCATTGCACGGTGATAAAACTTCGTGAGACATTAAGAAGTAATAAAATTTAAAGACGATTTTTATTTCTTCACGTCAATTTCAAAAAGCCGTCCTTCAGAAATTTCTGAAACACCTAAAAATACAACAACTCCTTAAATCGTCAAATTGAACTGATAGGACTTTATAATTTCCCGGTAAAATGAATTCCCGAGGTAAAACAAAGTCCCCCTAAATAATCAAAAGCCTCGAAGAACAACCCCTCGACATTCAAAACAAACTTGCACAAAATCTATCAAAAACACATAATACCGTAGTTGGTGAGTCAGTTTTTCTTTCACTCCTAGTAGTAGTTTCATATTTTTTATTGGCCTCAACAGTGGTGACCGTTAGGGTGTTGATTTCTTCCCTCGATGGTGAACTACTGCTAATACTCTTTTCAGTTGTTGTGTAAGTTTGATTAGGTGGTATGGCTGACGTGGAAGAACTCGAGGAAGTTACAAGTTGTATGAAAACATAAATAATAAATAAGGCCAAATGAAGTGGCCATTTTTGTCTTCGTGTCAGACGTCTCGGGCTCCTCATGGTCTATGAAAAAAAAAAAAAACATATGAGGTATGACATTTTTTATCGCACAAAACCTCCATCAGCATAATTAACTCATAATCGACATCCGTCCAGGATTTTAGCTTTATCATCACGTCCGCATATTGTCATTGAAGCCAGTCATATCGATTTCATCTGCCGCTGAATGGTCACGTATTCAACACGCCGGGGATAACAGACGAAGGAAACACACGAGTCAACGCTTTTCCTATTTCCAATCGATTCTCACCCCCTTGCCCCCCTTGTCCCCCTTATCACCCTCATCACCCTTTCTCCGTACCCTTGAGTGATGGCTTCCAACAAAATTAATAACAATTTGCCATTCACCAAAGGTAAACTTTCACCCTGGTCGCAGTCCTTCTCTTTCTCCCTCGTATCCCTTTGAACCCACGCCAAAACTCGACTTCAAACGATCGATTCCTCGACGCCCCCGCAATTTCTACCCTAATGCCATCCCCGGTATTATTTTTATTTCTCCCCTTTCACCCGACCATCAAGCTCCAACAATTACAGCATTCAGCGGACGAGAAAAACAAATAAAATTGGTGAAAAGCCCGAGGAAATACTGAGAAAATACTAATCGAGAAACCGCTCGAATAGAAAAAAAGCACCGAGTTATCGACCGGTGTGAACCGCAAAAAACTGGGATTAGATATGAATTCTGGTACTTCATCCCTCGGTTTATCCGACTTGGTGGTGAAGTTTTGCCGGGCAGGAAGACCCAGGAAAAATAAAGAGGGTCTAAAAACCACCCCACGAGTATTTCATTCAAGTGCTCTCACTATTCATCAGATTTTCTTTCCACTCCTTTTTCCAAAACTCTTCATCGATCCCTTCCAAACGCTCACGTCACTGGCAACTCAATTAACCGTGTCCTCACTCGAATTACTGAGAACAAATAAAAATGGATTGTGCAACGAGGGTGGAGAAATTATGCGTTACAGAGCTCGTGGCTCGATTGATTGGAACGAGTTATCAAATGACTGGGGGAAGCCACAATTGTCGCTCTTTAATTGTTAGCACGATTGTTTATCAATGAGACCTACGCACCAGTGACCTACAAAGAGTTATCAACATTTGGAGTTGAAAAATTGAGCGAATGGGCGCGAATGGGAGCGAAGGGGACTGATTCGCTCTGAGATGCGAAATTTTCGAAATGACAGGCAACTGACATTACAATGACATTATTGATTCACCCAAAGTACCCAAGACGTGAGGAGAATAATAAGGAAGAAAAAAAAAATACTGATAATAAACGGATAAATCAACTTACTCTAGTACTCGATGTCACATCCATGGCATTCGGCATTTCTTATCGCTCCTTTACCTCGTTTTTCTCTATTACTCCACTCTTGATTTTTTTTTATATTGCTATTCAACTCTCATTCACATTTCACTGGCACCTGACCCCCTCAACCGACCCCAAGTGCCTCTTCTGTATATTTTATCTATCTTACAGCATTGCACCTCACCCGGGACTGAAATACGATAAAAACCACTCGATGCTCATCGATGCGTTATCAAGAGACTTGGAAAAAATCAGCTTTCACCTATTTTAATAATTTGTCGAGTCGGTTATTGACACTCACGATCACGGGACACCCTGTTGGCAAATTATTTATTTCACCAGGAGCCGCACCGAGCTTACGGCCGGTTCTCCAACGCCTACACTATTTCGTCAGGTTACAGTCGTTGAAGCTTTTCGATTCAACTGCACGCTTGCGCAATTCCGAAAGCTCTAACAATCCGTGTTCCAGGGGAAAGGGAAGCTTGTAAATCTGGTGAACGTCACATACATTGGCCCTTGGTAGATTCCGGATAACCAGAGTAAAGGGAATATTGGAATTGGCTACTTGCGTGGTTGTCGAGGAGCTCCTGGTGGGGCGAATTGTTTTTCAGTCACACAAATTGTTTTACCCAGTAATCGATGGTTTTTTTTTTATTCACACCTCCTGGTAGACTCTTTATTCTCCACTCTCAATGTTTGCGGTTCAAATGGAATTGAATTTTAGGCGATAATGAGTGAAAATTCCAGGAAGCTTCTACGAATATTTCAAGGGATTTATCTGGAGTTCAGAGAACGCACGTGGATTATTTAATTGCGAATGCAATTGACATTTGAGAGAGGAAAAAATGTCGAGCTTTTATGCAAAATCGAAGGGGAGCTTTACTGGGTCTAGGGGATTCAGAGCAGCAATTTAGTAAATGATAAAGTATGATGAGTTGAATTTAATAACGAAATGAATAAATTAAAAAACCAGCGCGATTTCGGTACGATTAATCTTAAAAGGAATCTAAAAATATCCTCAATTAGGAAGTTCTGGTTTTTTTCTGTCGGGACGATGAAAAAAGATCATTATGCAGCAAAAAGCATTAATTATATGTACATTAATTATTGAATTATGGAGTAGATCAGGACAATTGGGATTATCAATAAAATTTAATCTGTGGATTAATCTATCGATTTTGTTAATTTATTTTAAAATTTATTGTATTATTTCAAAGAGACTTATGTGAATAGATTTTTTGGAGTTGTGAGGGCTAGAGATTAACTCGGATTCTGATTGAATTTAACGGAATAGCCGCCTGAGGATGGGTCCTGTTCCATTTTGAAATTCTCCGTGGAAAGACCGAAAGGTCTCAGGATCATGTTGCCGAGGTCCTTGAGCTTTCCTAACATCTCCTGCTTCAATTTCTCGTTTCGTTGGTCTATCAGCGGGGGCAGTCTCTGTAAAAAATAAGAAATAAAAACATTGGAGCGGGGAAAATAGTGGAATAGAATCGGCGCACTAATGACGTTGACTGTTTCTCGAGGTGATAAGACCAGCTGAAGTGAATACGTACGTTAACAGCATGATTGGCTTCTGCGTTGTGGGGATCGAGTTCGAGGATCTTCTTGTAGTCAGCTAGGGATTCGTCCAGTTTGTTCTCTTGCTCGTACAGCTGTCCACGTCTCAGGTAAGCCTTTAGGTACGTCGAGTTCAGCTCGATGGCTTTTGAACAATCTTCTATCGCCGATATTCTCTCCTGCAGGACAAATTCAACGCCACATCATCCCGTGATCTAAATGTTGTCAATTCTAATTGATTAACTGCGTTCTCCAAAACAATATAATTCATTGAGGAATATCAATAACTCATAAAATAGTTCAGAACGCTTGACTAAAACCGAAGATAAAAGTGCCAAGATCCAAGTAATGTAATTACGTCGTATTTTGCCTTGGCAGCTCCTCTGTTGGCATACAGAATAGCCCGATCCTTTTCAAATTTCAGAGGACACGTCTGCAGGGCCTGTGTGTACTTCCTCATGGCTTCTCTGTACTCCGACGATTTGAAATGACTATTTCCCTCATTCTTCAGCTCCTCAGCCTCAGCCTTGAGTTTCTAAAGCCATCAAAATTCCCAATCAAATCCAAACCCAAACGAATAAAAACCCAATTAAATTAAACTGCTTCAAACCTCCTTTTCCTCTTCGCTGAGGGAGACCTCTCTGTCCTTGAGTGCCTCTTCATCGACCCAGTCCTCGGCCTCCTGTGGATTAACCTCGGTGGCCTCGGAATTCTCCTCCGAACTCTTACCCACCTTCTCCCAGGGGTCCTCCTCAGGTTTAACTTTGAAATCACCGTCCCTTCCCTCATCATCATCCGATTTTTTATTTTCCCTATCGACACACAATTTCTCCAAGTCCTTCGTTAAATCTTCTAAAATCTCCTCGTTCGATGGCACTTTGTCCCCCTTTCCCTCCATTATTTATTTATTTATTCTATTTATTTCTTTATTTATAGCCGTCGGCGATGGCCAGAGGTTAAACCAGTACCCCAATTTGGATTAAATTAATCTGGAGCCAATCTAATAATCGTAATCATTAATCATGGTCGACGAAAAATAATGGAACTGAATCTTCAGGAACTGTTAATCACTCAATATTAACTCCAAAATTAATTATTCTTCTTTATTTATTATTCACCGACATAACCGTGTTGATAGCACTGATGACTCACGTAAATGTCAACTTAGAGATCTGGACAAGATGAATTCTTCTGCACCGACAGAATGCCATAGGTGCATCCAAAGAGAGGGAGGGCGCCACACGCGATGCTGAGGTGTTAAGGTATGATACAGGGAGGTATTGCCCAGCTTTGATGTCGCCGACACCAAAACAGGGGACATGTACCTTCAGACGTCGTACATAGCACTGTATAACGCCTTCTCCTCATGTGCGTTTCGTCCCCACAATTCAGCGATTTCTGGCGTTTACATTTGAATGCCAGTCGAGTCGTTTGATTCTTTTTCTTTCAAATTGACATGAAAAAAAAAGGTATGGCATAAAAATTGTCTACAAAAGCATAAATGAACAATGGGTATATGATTATTTCAATACGAGAGATTCTTCCCCAGTATTGACTATTTTTTCATAAATCAAGTAATTAAAGTGAAACTCTTTCCACGTCACCCAAGAGGTAGAGTCCTTAACGCGTTTTTTTTAAAGTGGTATCCCCTGTAGGCCTAATCCACTAAGTCAATGGATGGGAAATGGGGATGGATGGGAAAAAAGATTTTTCCATGGAAGGAAATTACATAAAACAGTAAATAACAATAATTTTTGCTGTCATTTTTTTTCCTCTTATTTTTGATTTTTTTAAATATATTTCACATTTTTTCCTGCTATTTGCAATTATCATTTTTTAAATAGTCGCCGCGCTGTCTCGTGCCGCCTGAAAGAAATTGTCCCCTGTTTTTGGTTTGTCAATACCTGTTTGTATCATACCTTATATTATTTTCAAAAACACAAGTGCTCATTGTTGTGGTCGATGTCATCAGCTGACGAAAATTAAATTTCTGTATATATATTTAAAATATTCATAATAAAAATTGAAAATGTACAGTCAGGACCAGGGGCTAGATATTCATCTCAGCAACACTGATTTAAAAACATAAAACAGGTGAATTATTTAATCGATGACAATAAACGGATAATAATTAGATATGCCACTTACCAACTTTTCGTGAGGTTTTCTAGTTTAAAGAATTGGAATCTGAAAAGAAAGTTCTGATCGCTGGAAATCGTTCTCTGGCTGAAGTCAATCTAGCAAAGCAACCCCAACTCGAGGAGAATAAAAAAACATTACATGAACTGTCTGAGAAAGGCTGTGAGCTGCTGCGGAAATTAAAGAAGAATCGGAATTAATTATTTAAGCAATTATATAAACAATTATCAAATGATAATGGTGATTTTTATTAGTATTCTCCTTTGTGTCCAGAAAATAGCTGAGAAGTTCTTATCGGGAGATACAATCGAAGTCGATGAATTCCTGGATCAATTCTTGACCCGAAGAGAGGTGATTCATTTACGAAAGGTGAAGGTAGACAAAATGCGAGAGATTAAGAGGAAACCGAAATCGTCAACAGGAGGTTATCCAGCAGTGAACACCTTTCGCCGCCCAAGTTTTCTTAAAGCTATTTCCATAATGTGGATCAAAATAATTCCCACGATAGCCCTCACAAGACAAAAGACTACATCGTAGGCTTCACGGACCTCGGAAATTGCGACGATTTTGCGACAGAGATCATGGAGTGGAGAATAGCCCTGTCTGGTGCAATATCATACACTGATGACCTGTTGAATCCACCAGAAAAGGGAAAGAAGCCGTCTAATCTACTCTTTGGAAACAAGAAATCAAAAACAATTCGAGGCAGAACTCATTCTGACGACAGTGGTTCTGATAACGAATGATTTATTCTCATTCGATCGAATTTTCCTAGTTATTC